GTTCTGTAGTTCATGTCTTTGTTCCAACCATTTCTCAAAATCACAGAATCTTGGAATCATTTATATTGGAAGAGACCTTTAGGATCACCAGTTCCAACTATGTTAGCTAAATCATAGCTAACATTATTTAAACTAGAATAAAATCAGCCTTTGCTAAAAATGGCCCCTGTCCTATAGCCATTCACACACAACCTGAAGAGTTGAAGAACTTCACATCTCTGTCACTATATTTATCATGTCAGATACTTAGACTTCAAAATCTATGTTACAACTGAATTTATAAAAAACTTGTGAGACTTTTGGCAGAAGTATCACCTTCCTAGACAACCTGTGGGCAATTCTAGACATTTTAAAAATGGATGTAATTTTAGAATAGGGCAGATACCAAGCTATTGATTGGCTTTTTACTGATGCTAGTTTGCTCTCTCCCTAGGCTGACACACATCTCATGTCACAAATGCTGTTGGGATATACAGAGAACACTGGTTCACTCATGGAAATTAATTTCTTTCTCTTCTTAAAGAGATCGTTGCAATAATTGATTATGAGTGACAATGGAATTGTTAATGGCGGTTCTAACAGACTCTGGAAATTCTTAGAAGATGAATGTCAAAAAAAAGCCTAATTCCACAAAAATACCAAACTTTGTAATGGCTAAGGAGCCATCCTAGTTAAAAGATAAAGCAGAAAGCAAAACAAAAAAGGGCAAAAATGTAGATGACGTGATATAAAACTCAAGATACTCAACATTCTGAAATGATTTGGTAACGTAGGAAAGAGTGATATCTGTGAACTCTCACTGGCCAAGTAAATGAGATGTAAGACATGGGTTTAGAGCCTTCTAATCATGAAGAAAAATCTAGCTCAGGTACAGGTGATACACCTGCTAACGTGCCAAAATATAACATGGGAAAATGAGAAATATCTTTATTTGAATCAAACTAGGAAAATGCTGTGTTCTCTTGAGCTGCAGGCAGACCAGAAAGTTCCTCTAATGGGGGAAGACACAAAAAAAGTTTATTAAAAACCTATAAAAGGGCAGTGAAGAAAAATTCATCTGAACTGTCTGGAGATAAAACTACAAAATAAGCTCTAAATATAAGAATTCATTTGACAATGTAAGCACGGCTTCAGCTGGTTGCCTGCAGAGATCAGGAAAGAGTTTATTTTTTCTAGGGGATGACTGTATCATAGGACTTCACGTGCATCCTCATGCTTTTGACCCTCTGATGAGTCATTGTGGATTTGGTGCAGTTGGGACAGGGCAGATGTGGTCGCTGGCTCTTGCTGCTGGATGGATGGTGACACCAGCGTCAGATTTTAGGCAAGAACATTGTGTTTTTGCACTTTGGCAGCCTGCTGCTCTGCTCCTCTGGAAGCTGTCGGTGAAGGAGAAGGGCAGATCTCACTCAGGCAGCCCTCTGCTGCTGCAAGGCTGGCCAAGTTTTGCAGTACATTCCTTTCCCATGTGGACAATGAGTTCTCTGACAGGCTGACCCTTGCTCTTGCCAAGAGTATGACAATCCAACACGCTTAATAGAAATCTGTACCTACTTTTAATTAATTAAGTTCGTTAGTGGCTTTTTGCAGCTGATCTTGGTCACTCGTCACACAGTTTATTGACACACAGTTTGTTCCCCTGAGGAGACCCCGGCCCCATGCAGGCCTGCCAAAGCTTTTGGTTGTTGCACAGTGTTTGGCTATGATTGCTGTGAGGCCATTTTTGGCAGTGCAGCCTTTGGCCCTGAGCTCCATAGGGAGGACTGTAGTTAAACTGAGCAGTGTGTTGAAATCTTTACTTCATAAAAACAGATTTCACTAAGAGAAAAATCATATGTCACTTTCAAGCGGCTGAAATGCTTTCAGATAATTTTTTGATACAGATAAATACTGATCTTGGTATGAATTTTGGTGATAATGCCACGCAAAATTTATGGAATCACTGAATTTCTGCAGAAAGAAGAAAATCTGAAGAACATCACGAAGGAGAGAAGAAGAAATCTGTAAGATCAATATATTTTAAAAATCTAACAATAATAATGCTTGGTATGTCTTTAAATGTTACAGCTATACTTCTGCATAATTGTACTTACATGTGAATAATATGCATGAGCTTCTGTAAAAAATTGAAAGTCCAGCAGAGAATTAATGCCCATGAAGACTGCTGAATGAAGCTGCTGGTACAAGGTTCAATTGATCTGGCCCAACTGACTCTTGCCAAAAATAGTCAAAGTCTAAAATTAGAGTAAATTATCAAACCCATTTTTTTTTTTTTTTTTTTTTT